AATTAACTACTAAACAGTCTAGATGTTCCAAATGGCCTATCATTTGGAAACAATCTTTTATTCTTATGCTCGTAAAACCGATTTTGGCTTGTAATGAAAGCAGGCAGATTGAAGTGGCTCACTATGCGGAGTCCAGGAGGGGAATTGTTAGATGAACAGCATTTTGTAGCCTGTCTACATGCCCAACTCACGTTGCCTTGCTAATATGGGCTAGAAACCTAACAATGGAAGCTGAATACTCAGATGTTTTTTGTTCGGAAGAGTGCTGTCTGAACTCCAGGTTCTAAGGTTAGCACCTCTCTCAGCTCCTTACTGTCCCTTGGTGTCTCGTTGTGTTGCACAGGCTGCAGCCAGGAAGGCCAGCCTCCAGGGAAGACTGAAGAAGAAGGAGTATGAGATTGAGACGCTGAAGAAGCAGCTGAGAAAGCAGGGCCAGGAGATGTGCACCACCAGCAGCCAGCTAGCCAACCTGCAGAACGCGCTGGCTTCCTCAGAGACTCGCTGACACCCAGGACTGCACGGGCTTCCGAACACCAGGGCAGAGGGGCCGCTGGCCGCAGGCTCTGTCACTGACAGCGCAGACGTAGACTGATAGCCTGCCACTTGAACACAGTGCCCTCAGCCTGCAGAACGCTCAGGCTCACATACTGTACTCTATCTGTGCCCCAGATCAAGGCATGATGTAGTTTCCAGGTATGCTGTAAATGGAGTAGTGTGCAGGTGTTTGCATTATGATAAAAACAACCTAGAGATCTAGTGACAAGTGACAAATTTTGAGTTAAATAATTAATATAGCAATTAATGTCAGAAATAATAAAATGATTTGGTTGTCGAATAGCAATATGATAGATATTATGCACCTTCAAAAAAGAAACTTCACCATAGGTGACTCCCACTTCTGAGATGCTGGTGGCATCTGCTGTACCTGCTTTAGGCTCAGTGTTATATTTCTTTTAATTATGAAGAGTAATTTGTCCTTTAATTGAGTGCTCTGAAATGGTGGACAACAAACTGCAATGATTGCAAGTTTTAAAATAATTTTTGTAGACATAGGTGAAGATGTACTGTAATAGCAACTGTTTGCCATTATTCAGAATTCTTGTCAGCACTGATAAACGCTTCATGAACAGAATCATCTAGCTGTATGTTTTAAACAGTTTGTACTGTATATAGACTCATTTCTGTATATTAACCAAGGCTCCTAAGTGGCTGAACCAGTTGAGGGGCTCACCCATGTGCAGGATGAGATCCTACATCCATGTTTTGCGGGATCAAACCTGACGAAATGGCTCAGCAACTCCACAGGTAGGGTGAGAGAAGTTGGCCACGTCCTTCTCAGCTCCTGTGGACACTTGCAGGCTAGCGGTGCTGTTGGGAACGGGTGCAGATCTGCTCCAGTCTGAGCTAAACCTCCTGCAGGAGGAGGTCACGTCACACAACTCTACTGTGTCAAAAGACAAGTGGCACAGAGGTGGACAGGCTGGAGGAGTCTGGCTGCACCACCTCATTCTGCCCCTTCTGCGGTGGCAGGGTCTGTAGCCATGACCTGAGATAGGAAGGCATTTAACTGGTCATTCCAAGTAAGTTTTATTAAAGATAGTCTTCTATCATTTTGGTTCCATCTCTATTACAATCAGGATTAACCAGTCCTATTCTACTGCTGGCTTTTGCAGTGTGATTCAGCAGCTGGTGCAGCAGGGCTCAGGACAGATCCCACCCTAGCAATACAAGGTCTTCCTGTGTGAGGCACGTGGACTGCATAGACTTCATAGACTGAATTCAGCTCTACTGTCTGTGCTTGCAAGCTGGACTATCTGTCTTTATATAGATATACTGTATATATCTGTCATGTGGGTCCAGTATTGAGCGATAGTACACGTCAAGGTTTTGAGATAAAACAACTTTCTGTAAAGTTAAAGATGTATAGTTTGTATTTTTTGACAAAAGCAACGTATGTCAGATCCGTTTCTCAGGAGGAAAATGCAGATTAATCTGAACCCAACTATTTATTGTTAATTAATGGTTGCACAATACAGAAATCAAAGAATTATAAAAATTAGACTATAGAATAAGACTTATAATTGTGAACTTTGTTGGGCAATTATTCAAACATTAAACTAATCTATAAATAATAATCTCAAATTAGTGATGGATAAATCATAATTATTATTTGAACAAACTTTTACAATGTAGAAAGTCATTATGCATTAGTATATTGTTCTTGAAGCAAAACAATTATTAAATATTAATGGTTATGCTGCAAAATTTAAAAACAATGAACTAATATGCCAGACAAAAAAATGTCTCATAAAGACGTTTCAAAAGATCATTCATGCATTGATTGTTTGCAAAATTCAGCTTTTCAGATATGAGATACATTAAACATTTCCAGGGCCGATACAGTGTATTCAGTTTATTGAAGTTCATCGTCAACACAGAAAACAAATACTGTACCAAGGAAACGAGATGCTTGAAAGAGATGAGCAGCAGCCAATTTTCACAGGAAGTAACACCTGCTCCTGAGCCACTTCCTTGACACATTTACTGTATGACCTGTCCACTTTCCAACAGCCTACAAGTGCACTCCGTGCTCCAAGACTGGGGAGGTCTTGCTTCCTGTTCTTATCAGTTTTTATGTGCGTCACAGCGCACAAGAGCTCCAGGTCCAGACTAGATATGATCATCTCATCATTAATACGAAATGACTGATATCGAAATTGTATCTGACACCATAAAACTAAGCAGACGTCGTTCTCTTCACCTGGTGTGTAGACTGGGAATGTTCCGAAAACTCCAATTTCAGCTCCATCTCTGCGAAATGTTAGCAGATCTTAAGTGATTCTTCTTACGAACTGCATTTCAGACTAATAGAGCTTCCTAAGCTGCTGAGCACTGATTTACTTGCAGGCAGAAAGCTCGGATGTGCCACTGGCATCTGTTTTGGGTGAGATACATAAAAGGAGTTTACATGTCTAGTTTCCTGCCTGCACTCTTCTAAAGTACTGTAGGTTACAATTACTACTGTCACTTAATTTATAAAGATATCCCTAAGAATACCCATGTCTTTCTTGATAGAAAGAAACTGCATACTATGTGTATAGCGTTATGTCTTTTATTAATCACATTACAGTTCTTCTTATTATAAGCTGTTACCTGACCCATAAACCATAGTAAGACTACTTTATACCCTTGAAATAGACTCTTTTTAGACAAAGTAAAAACAGGTCATTGGAAATACACCAATGCACTAAATCAGAGCTTCCCCCACCTGCTTAGAAACAGCAGTTTCTGCGTGACCTCACCAGGAAACGTGCAGACACATGAGACAGCAAGTGCCACTGGGCCACATGACAGTGTCATACCAACGTGATAAGACCGTTCTCGAGACGTCTAGAAGATTCTGCTAGATTAAACAAGTATGCATCCTGTACAGTAGTTAGACACGCAAAGACGGTTAATATCTGCAGTTTAAACAAAGCTCTGTGCCTTCCTTTTAATATCCTTTACTGACGGTGATTCTTTTTGTCAGCCCCATGAGCAGGCTCGTGTGTTAAGACCAGCAATCAGAAACCTGTTACCAGTCCCCAGCGCCGGCTAATTCCACAAAGCACCGCCGCACATGTTAATCAGTCAGTCTCAGCTGTCCTTCACTAATCCCAGTCTCCACTCCTTATAAACCCTCATTCGGGATCGGTCAGCGCTCAGTATTGGTTTCTCCCTTGGAGCTCCTACCTCGCCTGTAGTTCTCTTTGACTTCCTGTTCTTAACCCTTGACCTTTTGGATATTTGTCTGCTTAAGGACTACATCTTTGCCTAGCGTTTTGGATTGCTCGCCTGATATACCTTTTGGCAGCTCGCCATAGCATCGTCTCCCAGTGTCCCACTCCCCTTCATGTGTGTTATAGAATGGAGTTTATTTAATGAAAGTTCGGGAGGGCTGACAACAACCACGCTCAATCATTCCCAGCCGTCAGGGATTAGCAATCCCTCCCTTCGTCCTTCCTCCACCGAACGCTATAAATACCAAACGCGATATCCCTCTCCCTCGCGTCCCACTTTTGCATCCCACCTCCACCCCATCTCCACCTCTGCAGCTGCCCCTTGGTTACCTGGCGGGGGGGTCCTGTGGCCAGGAGGTCGGCCCTCAGCCAAGCAGGTTAAGCCAAACATTCGCTCCACAATAGTTTGTTACGCTTCGATTTTGGGCGTTGTCATTCCTCATGAATTCAAAATGATAGCTCTAGGTGTCTGATGAGGTTGTGCGCGTGGGATTCGAAATCCCGTTTTTTTTAATCTTCCAGAGTTGCAGATGCAGTACAAATGAGCAGTCTAAAGTGCAGAATGAGAACAGGAATTCGTTTTGTGGAGATGACAAAGAAGGCAAGAATAAAGTTTCAGAACAGCATTTGATTGGTGGTGCCAGCTTTATCAAGCTTCCTTTTCAGCAGGTTTTGGGATTATCTGTTCAATATTTTAAGCAAAAACCATCAAGCCAGGTCATACATACTGTATATAAATATACTTTGGTCTGAGTGCTTCAGGCTTTGACAGAGTGGTAGTTTGTGTTCTTATCGTGGATTGTGGTAGAAATTGCCCCTTAATCCGAGCCTCGTGCATTTTACAGCATATTACAAGCCCTCTGTATGCGCTACAGTCCTCTGACAGCACTAGCCCTGGGCCATCACAGTGTGCTATCAGAGGGAACATACTGCAGGGCCGATCCACGCATCAGAGCGTGTCTGTATCACACACGGCTGTGATCAGAAAAGCAGCGAGAGTCCTTCTGAGGAACTGGAGGATGTGTACGTGCAGTGCTGGAGCCACACAGCCAGTCAGGTGGGTGCTGACATCAAGGATAACTGCAGGATAAGTAACCCTTTCTATACAGCTGGGTCACTTCCAGGCGTGAGGTGTGATTAATCTGTAGGAATGGAAACAAAACCCATAAGATTTCCTTGAAGAGACAGCTCGTAGATATATCCTTGAATATATTTTACACCTGTTGGACACAAATTAAAGGCTTACAAATATTGTTTTGCTGCACAAATAGTAAATGTCCTTGGTGAAGTCTCCCTTTTCCAGAAGCTAAATCCCACATGCTATGGAGCTCTGCAAGACACGTCTTATTCTAATCCATTCACAATCATCACTCCGCACATTTTAATGTTTGGCCAAATGAGCTACTTATACAGTTAATAAATTAGCTGTTTGCTGTTTTTTTCAGTGACCCAAATCTGTCTGTCGATGCGAAGAAACAGATGCTGATGACATTAAACCTCTGGCTGTTCCTCTTGAAGGGGTGAGGCAGTCGTCAAGCCAATTCTAACATTTCTGTGCAGTCTGGTAGATCCTTATTAAATGCTCAGATTGACACAGGTATAGATATTTCGTCTTAAATCCTATGTTTTTTATTACACGTTTGTCTCATTGAAGTGATCTAAGCAAAGAACATTTACTTTGCAAAACGCATTGTGAGAAATTACTGGGCTGTTGAAGATGAAATGTCATGAGTCTGTAGCTGTCAGTCACAAAAAGGTTTCCTGCAAGCATTGTCTTTTTTTTTTTTGATAAGCGCTGTGCATTTTTCCTGATTCAGGACACAATGGGTCTGTCCACGGAGAGATGAATCAGACTTTTCAGAGTGGAGGAACAAATCCCGTTTATGTTCTTCCAGTTTGTCAGACTCCAGCACACACAGTGTAATGATGCAAACACAGGAATGCTGATAGGGAGTTTTATAGCTTTAGGCACAAGGGCCTATGAGCCCATTCAGCTGTGGAAAGAGTTCTGGTTTTCATAATGGGAGCAGAAACATGCATTGCATTAATAACACTGAAGTTCCTTTTTTTAAAAACATATGTGTGGGTTTCCTCTGGGGGGCTCCGGCTTCCTTGCACAGTTAAAAGATACTGGTAGGCTGATTGGCTTCCGGGTAACCTGGCCCTGGTGTGAGTGTGTGCGTGTCTGTGTCTGTCTGCCCTGTGATGGACTGGTGTCCAGTCCAGGGTGTGTCCTGCCTTGTGCCCTTTGCTTGCTGGGATAGGCCCCGGCTACCCACAACCCTTTATTGGATAAAGTGGTTAGATATGAATGGATGTGTTCATATATATTCAGTATATAGTAACAGTGCATGTGAAAATGGTAACATATTTTATCCTCTCATCCTTTCTATTGAGTTCTGTAATGTCCTTCTCTCAGTAAATCTGAATTCTGTGAGCTCTGACCCTTCACATTGCTCTACCTCTCCCCTCTTAGTCGGAATTATGGTTTTACAGAGGGGAAACAAAGGGTGGTCAACTGATTTTCTTTCTAAAACCGGAATATTTAATGGAATCTGACTGTATTCCTATTCAAGGTAAGATGGTAAATAATCTCTGAACTGGCTTCATCACTCTGTTCTCCTCCCCACTGATAGCTGATGTGTGGGGAGTGTTCTGGCGCACTCTGGCTGCCGTCGCATCATCCAGGTGGGGCTGCACACTGGTGGTGGTGGAGGGGATCCCCATTACCTGTAAAGCACTTTGAGTGGAGTGTCCAGAAAAACACTACATAAAATGACTATATTTCACTATATGAAATTCAGTTTACAGAGTTTTCCCAAATAAAACAAGAAATGCTTAGCAATCAGTATGCTTACTATATATTGTAACTCCCTTATACGTACTGTATAGAGTTGTAGTGTATTTTTGAAAAGAAGGTGGTTATCTTGTCAGGGTGACTAAGATCATACTAAAGCACAGATTGCAATAGTATAGTCCCCTGTCGTCCTCCTACACACCAGCCCTGTGAATGGGGGAGATTGCAGTGGGACCTGTCACATATATTGTAATGGGAGGTTGAAACTAGAAGGCTGGGATCGATGCCCTATTCATTTGGTGGTTTTGTATTGCACTCTGCTTTCAAAGCAATACGATTTTA